AGAAAGCAAACTGACCTACAATGCTAAACAAGCAAACAAACACAAAAAATCCCTAAGATAGATTTAAACAGGGAGGTGGAAGAGCTCTACAATAAAAGGTACAAAACATTGATGAAGGCATATGAAGATGACACGCAAAAATAAGGACATCTTAATTTCATGGATTGGAAAAATCAGTATTGTTAAAAGGCCCATACCACCCAACATGATCTATATGAAATCCCTATCAAAACTAATGATATTGTTCACAGAACTAGGAGAAAAAAAACCCTAAAATTTGTATGGAACCATAAAACCCTCTGAATAGTCTAAGCAATCTTGAACAAAAGGAGGCATAACATTTCCTAACTTTGAATAAACTTCTGATACAATAATCAAAATAGTTACAAAAAGAAAGGTGTTTTAAAATTTTTAAAAACTAAAATATTAAAAAGCTAGCATCATAGTAGCATAAAAATTAGTTGTGCAGACCTATGAAACAGGATAAAGTGCCTAGAAGTAAACTCATGTATCTACATTCAATTAATCTTCAGTAGTTTTGCCAGGAAGACATTTTTTTGACAATTTTTGATCGCAGATCTCTATTGTGAGATAGAATGTTTTAAATATTCTAAATTGCTATATTAATTTTAAACTATATAACTGTATATAATCATATACCAAAGAAAACTTACTTCAGTACAGTCTAAAATCCTACCAGAAAAAAACAATATGAGAATATTTTCATATCTAGTTTTCTGAGGATTTGATAAAAGCCAGATAATCTAATAATTATGCTTAAACAATTATTTTTCCTTCCCCATTTTCATTATACTTTGTTTTAATTATTTATTAAAATCCTTATAATTATCATGCATAGAATTACAAACTCCTTATAATTGAGGAAATTGAGGCACAGTCAATTAAGAATCTTAAGAATCTTACATGTTCACGACCCAAACTCACTACTGATATCCTCCCATCCCAATCCCCCCAAGTCTCTCCTCTCTCTGTTTTCCCCATTTCAATAGTGTTGACTCCATTTCTTCAGAAGCTCAGAGTGAAAAACCTTGGCATTGTTCTTGACTCCTTGGTTTCCCTCACATCTAGTTGGAGAGAAAACTTGCCGGATTCTACCTTCAAATTTAGCCAGTAACTCATCTCAAGTTCAAGGTGAGCTAACAATGAAATGTTCTTTCACTGACCTCTTTCACTGACCTCTCTATTCACACACACACACACACACACACACACACACACACACACACACACACAATTTTAGGACTACTAATAGATATCTTTTAGTAAAAATAAGAGGTGCATTCAACCCTGCCCAACTACTACTTATTCACTTATTCCACAGCAGCATTTATTGGAAGCCCACCCCAGCACTCCTTCCTCTAGGCTCTTGAAGGTCCAACAGTAAAAGATGCAGGGGTTCTGAGCATGAGGAGGGGGACTAGGGAAGGTAGACTCTTGGGGGCAGTAAGAAAAGGCCACTTTGGAGAGAAACTGGAAGTGAGCTTTGGGTGGGGAAAAGCCTGCCATGTGAGAACAGGGAAGAGGAGATGCCAAAGGAACAGCAAGTTCAAGGAGCCAAATATGGAATTTACTGATAGAAGATCAGATTCAAAGGGTTTGTGGGGTGAGATCATGCTAGGTCTTAACAGCTTGTTAAAGGAGGTTGTATGCTATTCTGAGAGCAAAGACAAGTGGCTGGAAATAGAATACAAATACAAAATAAAAAAGAAATACAGAAGAAAAAAGGATCTCACTTAAAATCTCCTTTGTCAGTCATGTGCAGAATGTATCCCAGAGAAGCTGGACCTTTCTGAAAGCTATGGCAGCAGTCATTCTTAGAAGATAGGAAGACATGACCAACAAACCCTGTCCTGAGTTCAGTTTTACTCATCACATGTAAAGATGTAACAGAACTGCTCCAAAGGAAGGTGACTAGAATGGAGATCCTGAAACCATCAGTAATATTAGCCTAAAAGAATCAGGGATCTTAACTTCGGGCAAGAATAAACTTGGGAGAAATGCCACAGCCTTCCCAGTCAGTGAGAATTTACAAGAGACCAAGTTCTCGCCTGACTTAAGGAAGAACCGGAAGTGCCTGATAATAGCCCAACATCTCTGGAAAACAACAGTGCCTCGTCATGCCACAGCTCTAGGTAACAAGTCAGAATGGCCGACTGCCTGCATGGAACAGAATTAATTGTGGATTAGATGCTGAGACAGACTAGACGATGATGCCAAGATTATATGCAGAAATAATGTGAAAAATAAGAAGACATTTCAATGATAGTGAGATGACAGAACAAAAGTTACTAGTGTCTAAGTGACTCTACTGGAGCTCATCAGAATCAATTAAGGGGATTACTCCAGCCTCATTTACTCTTTCCTATCCTGTCACCCCAAGACAGTAAGTATGTGGGAGTGGGGAATGCTTGTGATCTTCTTGTTTTTAAATCACAGCTGCGGATTTCTACTGTGCTTTATATTTTGTCCCTGAAAGGAATGTATTATCTTTCTCCCTGATTTGTTAAGGAGGAGACAATTTGAGAATTGCTGAATTAGTCGTGTAAGAACCAATTGAGATCTTGGGGTAAATAAGATGACGAATGTTTTATGTAAAATCACTTATATGCTCATTAAGCTATTAATTTATTATGGAAGTATTATCAGATGACATTAACTCATTCCTCAAGGGGAGAGTGAGGTAATTTAATTCTCTAAGATCCTGTTCAACTCTAAATTCTATGACACTAATTAAATATATTAAGCTGAAAGTAGACCAAAAATAATTATACACGCACGCGCGCGCAGGCACACACACACACACACATATATATATATATATATATATATATATATATATATCCTTCTGGGATTAGGAAAGATAATTCAAGGACATTCACAACCTTATTCCACTCAAGAAATGACTGGCAGCTTTCCATCACACTCCCTGAAGCTCCTAGCTCCTACTCCCTATCAGGAAGAGTGGCTCCCAGAAAAATTAACTTAGTGAATGGCAAAGAAATGATGTTTAGATGGTGGGTCTATGGATGAGTGTTTAATTTTTTGCTTCCAAGCCTAAGTATAATTAAAACCCGGGCTTCACTTCTTTTATCTCTGTGTACAAAGATGGGACAACTCAAAAAGTCCAAGGGACCATTCTGATTGTGTCTCTCCTTCAAATACGTACATATAAACCTCCACAAACACAGAGACCACCAATTTCCACAAAACAAAACAAAAGGATAAAATTTACAACACAAAAAATTCAAACTAAATTTGTACTTGATTTTTGAGAACTACATGGATTGTGTGTGTGTGTGTGTGTGTGTGTGTGTGTGTGTGTGAACTTGGCTGGGCTATAGTTCCCAGTTATTTGATCAAACCCAGAATTCTCAGGTGGCCTCCCAAATCCCTCCCACCCCCAACATCCACACCTTATGGACTTCCTTCCTCTTGAGTATGAGTAAGACTTGAATATATTAATTTCCATGACTATGTTATATCACTTGGAAAAGTTTGTTGATGTAATTAAGGTCCGTAATCAGCTGATGTTAAGAAAGGGAGATCATCTTTGAGGGACAGAAGGCTGGCCTAATCAAGTGATTACTTAAAGGGGCCTAGGATCTTTCTAGAATAATAAATTCAGCATATGAGAGACATTCAACAAGAAGAAGAGTATCCTTACCTGGCTTTAAATATGCAAGGGGCCTTATGACAGGAGAATGGGACCAACTTTCAGGAGCTGGGAGAAGTCCCCAGTGAATATCCAGTAAAGTATATAGCATAAAAAGAACAAAGAAACTAACTGATCCAGTTGAACTGTTATGATTCCTTCCAGAGCAGAGACTGTCAAAGTAGGGTCAATCTCAAGATCAGCAATATGCCTGGTGATGCTAAATAGAAGTCAAAATGAAGTCACAATATCTTGGTATGTGGTTGAAGACCAGCTAGCACAGAAAAAAAAAAAAAAATAGGAAAGAAAGGAGATTTTACTTCTGTTAATTTCACTGCCTCAACAACTTACCAACTCAAGTTTGCTATGAGGGAATAATCTATAACTAAGCCTAAATTTAATTTGATTAAATTGTTCTCCCACATCTTGGCCAAAGAAAATAACACCAAAGTAAGGCTTAGCTCAGAAAACCTCAAGGAATCATCCATTATAACCTGACTTTAATCTCTTGATTCTCCTTCTAATCCATTCTTTCTATGGAGCATGGCTGAGATTTGCCAACCCCTAGTCAAGGTGTAAGGTTACAAAAAGTAAAAATCTAAATAATTAGAAAGTTGTTTAAAAAATAATCACATGAAAGAAGTACTTCTAATGACAGCAAAGACAAAGGCAAGGTAGACCAATCATTCAAATAATAAATTGCTCAGGCCATGATGTAACAACTAACAGTCAATGAGTTTTACCATGATCAATAGAGGAACCAATAAGATAGAATTCATGATCTAAAAGCAGCTAAATATTATATCAACTTTTACTGTTAATAGCCTGATTTTGGATTCAATGGAGTTTCTAGTCCCTTTTTCCTTCTTTCTAATAGAATCAGTTGTAGCAGGACAAAGTAAAAGGAATCTTTTATTAAAGTGTGACTGTGTTAGTCTGTTTTCTGTTGCTGGAAAAGAATACCCAGGAATAAATGATTTATAAATAACAGAGCTCTATTTTTTTGGCTCACGGTTCTGAAGGTAGAGAAGACCAAGAGCATGGCATCAGCGTCTGCTCAGCTTCTGGTGAGGCCCCTTTGCGGCATCATGACATGATGGAAGGATGGAATGGGAAGGGAGCATGTGTGAGAACAGTCCTAGGGGGAGGACTTGCTCTGTCATCACCCACTCTCTGGATGACTAAGCCACTCCCACAAGAAAGGCCTTAATCCGTCTCAATGACCTAATTATCTCTTAGAGGCCCCATTATTCTGTACCACTACAATGGCAGGTAAGTTTCAACACGTTTCAAAGGGAATAAAGAATATTGGAACCACAGATCTTACGCTGTTTTAGTTTTAGTTGTACCATTGATGCATCACTTCCATAAAATTCTTGTATTTCACATGTGTAGGTTCCTTCAGCAGCATCCTTCGTAGCCATCTCCAAAGAGTAATTTCCATTTATTATTTGTTCGGGATAAACTTTTGCACTTGAAAATTTAGGGTCTACCTTGCTCTCCATTTCAGCTCCTATAAAGTGTAAAATGAGTTTATCGTTTAACGACCACTTTACTTGTGCTTCTTTAATATGCTCTATGTCTGAATATAAAGCGAAGCATGGGATGAGAATGCTTTTGTTGCAATTAGTAGCGTCTACTGAGTCAACTTTCTGAATTTGAGGCTGAGCTGAACCTAGAAAAGAAAAAAAACAAAATTTCATTTCATTATAGCATTCTATATTATTAGAATACAACATCCAATTGCTAACTTAAGCAAACAGCGTAGAATAAAGAAGAGCAGTAAGGTGAAAAACAATCAAATTATTTTAATATTAACTTGCATAGCTAGTAATAAACACTGACTTTTCTTTATTCACTCTCAATAATACAAAGCATACATTACAATGTATTTGGGAATAAATTCAGCAATCGTTTTGGAAATCAGGTATAATATCTGGCTTTGGAAGCTTTGAAGTCATCATTTGTGGCCTACTGACATTTGTAGATAAATAGTGTTCTTACAATGGAAAAATTTTGAACATAAAATCAAACCAATTATATTCAGTCTCAACTTCTATACATTTCTTCTCAATAGAACTTGTTAAACTGATAAGAAATTTATCTCTAAATTTATGCTGCATTTCCAAAAAGTGACAGGTGCTACTATACTTTAATATACATAGTAAATAGAATAAGTAAATCATATCTTTCCAATTGGATGGAAAGTCAGAATATGAATCATTCTGCAAGGCTATTTTCTCCTTGGAAAATATAGGACACCAAACTTTTATGCAAGTATCACAATAGATTATATACAATTAAATAGCATTTTCTGGCCCCAGTATTTCACTAAAACTATAGAACAATTTCCAAATACATATTACAGGTACTTCTTACTCCAAGAAATGATAAACCACTCAAAAATCTAAGAAACAAGTTGAAAACAAGAGCAGATAATGCTAATAAGTAGGGTATAGTCTATCAACTCTTCTCAATGCCATAAACTACCAGTAGCTGAAGAAAGGGATTTTGGAGAGAATCCAAGGACTCATCATTCAACTAAAATATACAAGAACAGAGAAACTGATCATTGTCTTCCATGTCCTTCAACCATTCATCAACACTTTTATTGAAGTGGTTGGTTTACCTCAAAAAATAAAGCACTAACAAATAAAACATCAACATTTTAAGAAAAGCTTTATTTCTTCTATATCAACTGAAATCAATATCAGGGGCATTGGATGTTATTATTTGAAAAATATATCTTTTATTCAATAATTGCCTATTAATTCAAATACAAGGATATATAGTGGAATATGGTATTGATGATATTCAAAAGGCCTGAGTACAAATCATGTCTGTATGAGACACTAAGCAACTGACTTTTCTGTGCCGTGGTGCACTCCTTAAGTAAGATTAAAAATGAACAATGGACTACTTCACATAACTGTGTGAGCATCAAAAGAGAAAATATGCTGGCAAATGCTCCCTAGACAATACTGCACCATAAAATTATAGGTTAAAACTATATATAAAACTAGATAATGTTCCCTTTTGATGTAATGATTTAGGACTTCTCTGACTAGTCCAAATTCCTGTATTTTAGTAAATTTTTAGTCTGAACTGATCGAGTGGGCATACATAGCACAGTTCCTCTCAGTTCTCTACACTTTTAACCACCCAAATATTTTCCTCACAATAAACCCGAAAAACCTGAATTTACATTCTTCAAAACATTAAAATTGTGAAATACTTCCTCTGATAGAAAAGGACTGAGGGGGAAAACCTGTAGTGTAGAAAGAAAGAGAAAAGGAGTGATGACTTTATAGAAATTTAATTAGAATAAATACCATCAGTAAAAATTAAAGTAGAGTTGACCTGGATAAACCATGATTTGAGTAATCTTTACACTAATAATAAATAAGTATAATCCAAGAGTATTGCTGTAGTTGTTAACTTCATCCTTTATAAACATGTATTTAAAAATTATTTTATAATAAAATGATCTGATTTGTTTTTTTTCTTTTGTCTACTGCTTTCTTGTAGAAAAGCAAAGAAAAAAAACTTTAAATATAGAAATCTAATAAAGGAGCTTCAATAATTAACACAAATAAAAAAATCTGAATAAACAGGATACACATATAGAAGTCTAAATGAGATAAGAGTAAATAAATTTTATCAAGAGTGATGCCAGAGTTGTAGATAATTTAGCAAATATAAAGGGGAAATTATTTTTATATCAAATGCCAACAGCACTAGAACTTACAACTTCCGTGAACATAGTACACCAACACAAACCACAGTCCTGAGAGCAGCTATGTAGCTATTGCAGAAATCCAATAAATGATAGAGCATACAAGTCCAATTCAGAAATTTAAAAAATGCAACCAACACTTATCTAGAATTATTTGATAGAATCATTATTTTAGTCAGTTTATTTTTTTCCCCCACAGTGACCAAAATTTGCAACAAGAACGATTTTAGAGAAGGAAAAGTTTATTTGGGGGCTCCTGGATTCAGAGGTCTCAGTCCATAGATGGCTGACTCCATTCCTCAGGGCTTTTTATGAGGCAGAACATCATGGTGAAAGGGTGTGGCAGAGGAAAGCAGTTGGTAACATGCCATCAAGAAGCAGTGCAAGAAGCACTCAACAAGGCAAAATATAAAGCCCAAAGGCATGCCCCAGGAACCCACCTCCTCATTCTTACCCTACCAGCCTACAGTTACCATGAAATTAATCCCTATCAGGGAATTAATGCAGCCGTTAGGTTAAACCTTTATAACCAATAATACCATCTCTAAAATTTCTTGCATTGTCTCACAATGAGCTTTTCAGTGTGTGTGTGTGTGGGGACACCTAATATCAAAATTATAACAATCATTGTGATAGGACTGTGGATACAATGTTTAAAATAATTTAGACATTATATCTGTTGGGAGCTTACAATTCTCATATGGGGAATTAAAAATACTTTATATAATGCAAGGTCATAAGTATTGTCCTTTCTGTATGAATGGTAGAAAGGGAATCTGTTATAGACTTCTAAGAAAATTTGTATTGCAAAAAAATATTTCTTCTTTAAAGAAATAAAAGGATGGAAGGAGGCAAGAGGGAGGGAAGAAAACAAAGAAAATTAGTGTTGCAAACTAGGTATCAGCAAAAGATTGTCTTGCTCCCTACCCACCTGGACCCCTGATCTTTTACCTTTTCTCATGTTTTGGGTTCATTTTTTCTCCTTCTTAACAATTCTTTTTCATTTGCTTTCATCCTACACTCTCCAAAGGAACCTTCTTTCCCTGCTTGATTCAAATTTAGTCTTTCACAGGAGAAGCCAGAAGATTCCATCAGTCCTCATCTACACTTACTGGCAACCCAAACTATCCATACCTCTTCTCCTCCTGATTTCTACTGACTTTTCCAAAAATGAATCCCTTCACTGGAGAGCTGGCTTCCACTTCTGTCTCCAAGCCATCCATCTCAAGCATTTTCACAAAGTAATTATCAGCTCCCCCAAACCCCTATTCCATTTACAAGGTACACATATTTTTTTAAATGCTTGAATATTCATCAACTTAACAAAATGTTACATGCTTGTCTCTCTTTCCTAACACCCTAAAATAGTAATCTGTGCACATCAATTCACTTGTAGCAACTCCTTAAGTCACCTGCCTCCACAACTACTGCACCCTACTGCTTCACCACTCCAGCTTTCACCAAAATCACCACTGATCCTGCATGAAAAGTCAAATGTGCACAGTTCCCTTTCTGTCTTGACTTCACAGTTCTTCAGCCAGTGGGCAGCTCCTTATCTTGTCCTCTCTTCTATCTCTTAATTGGGAATTTCCTCCTGCTTGTCCACCCCCATCTTAGCATTCTCTTAGCATTCTCTCTAGAAATCTATTCTGTGGCTCCCACAAATGTCAGTGTTCCTAAGGGACAGCACCCCCTCACCAAATATCATCCCTCACTACTATGGATTATCTACCTGAGCACTTTTTCTTCTGAGTCAGGCCCCATATTTCTTAAACTGAAGACCTTGAACAGTCAACTATCTGTTGTACATTTCCACTTGGATATACTACAGTAACTCCAAAGTCAGCATGCCCACCAACCTACTTCTCCCCACCCTTCCCCTTTCTCCCCTCCTCCCAAATCCTCAGCTCCATAAAGTGTTTTCTGTTTTCTACCAGTCAACTAGACTTGGACCTCGGAATCATGCTAGATTTCTTCCTCTCATTAGTCATGGAGAATTCTTGGTAGTTCCTAAATTTAATATCTGTTAAACAAAAGAATTAGACACTCATCTTTTCTCCCTTGAATTAATGCCATACCATCCTGATTTCCTCTTTCCACCCTCAACATTTCTCCTTCCCAAATAATTGTTCTAAATGCAAATGTACACTCCTTTGCCTAATACACTTTAACCACACTCCCCCGGCTCCACCAAGGTAAGTTCTCACTGCATTATTGTGAAACACATCAAGGTCCTACAAGATCCTCTCTAGCTTAACCTATATTTTCTCCTTTCCAGACTAAGTTGAAATTGCCATGATGTCCTTGCAATTCCATGCACTCTCATCTCCAGGCCTTAGCAAGTGCTCCTATCCAGTCTGTGGAGGTGCTTTTCCTCTCCTGGGTGTAGAGTGTGTAGTAGAGACCACACAATTAGGAGCCAGATCTTGTTTCATAACTCAGCTCAACACTTCGCAGTTGTGGAAACTCTGCACCTTGTACCTTAGTGTCCTCATGTATACAATGTTAATAGGGATAGTATCTATCTCACCAAGATTTTGTTAAAATGAGATGAAATTTTTGTAGTACCCTTCCCATATATAGTAAGTGCTCACGTAATGGCAGCTATAGTTAAAATGTTTTTCTGCTAAAACCCCATTGAGATATTCACTCCTGTCCCCCTTTTCTACTAACACTCAATTTCTTTTATATATTAGATTATTCCTGTCACTTTCTCAGTTGGGCTCTAGAATATGAAACTAGAATAATGGTTAAATTATTAACGCTTTCTTGAATGTTATTCTGAGAAGTGGAGACTTGATCATATAGACTACAACTAACCACTCAGATTTATTTTTTATTTTTACAAATTATACTGATAGAAATATAAAGGGTGGATTGAGGACAGAAAGGGAGAGGAGGAAAGAGAGATCCATTAAGAGCCTACTATAATAGTCCAG